GTGATGAAACCGGGGTCCTCCAAGCCTTTGAACCTGAAAGATCTTTTTATCCCCTTTTTAGAACTTTGATAACGGTGATTCTCGCTTGGATTCCAATGAATTCTTGAAATTTGTAGAACAGAATGAAACCGCCATCAATATTAGCACCTACGCTGATCAGGAAAACAACAAGCTTCTTAGGTGAGTGGAGTCAGAGGTCAGAGTGTGGCCGGTGAGGGGAAGGCTGGACAGGACAGAGCTCAACCTTTTCCTGTCTGCAGAAGAGTCAATTTAAAGTATAAAGCAAAGTGGAAATCCTGTCCTATTATTCTTTGTTCACATTTGAACTAATATATTCAATATCTGATGAAATAATTATCATTCGGGGCCAAGTCTTGCAAAAAACAGAAAGAATGTAATTTTAAAACCAATTAACAGGGGAGCTCTGGTGGCCTAGTGGCAAGAAGCTGCAACTACAATCCCAGAGGTGTGCGGTTCGAATCCACAAGATGCTCTGCTGGGGAAGGAGGGGCCATCTCCTCCTGTACCAGTCAGATCTGATTTGACGGTACACGCACACAAAAGTAATAAAATAAATATTTTAAAAAAAAACCAATTAACAAGGTCACAACAAGATAAAGTTAAATAAACTCATGAATCTTATGGTGATCTTTTATAGTGTTTTCCTGAAGAGATTACATTAGTGATTTGTTTAGCTGTAAGTCTAATTTGCCTTTAGTTCTTAGTTCTGAGGTAATCAGTGCTTTGAGAGGTCTGATTGTTATGAATGTAAGTATGTTTCTCACTTTTTCTGGTATTATTCCAGAGTGAATTATTAATAACATTAACCCCAGCTAAACTTCTAGTGCTGGCACATAAGGAGGAATTTAAAAAACAGGAAAAGCACCACTTTTATATAGAAAAGGTACAAAACACAGACCTTTCCTTCTACAAAGATTTTTTTTCCTTTTTCTCTTTTTAGAGAAATATAGAGAAGAACACAGACACATGTAATCAGCTTCTGAATGTAGACTTCAGTGAATTTGGTTACATTTTTCAAATTGTACAATTGTGCTTGCTCTTTTTTCAAATCATCTCACCAAAGGATTCTTTCTTAATAATACTCTGTGAAGGACAAATATTGTACCAAACCATTATTGTAGAAAGAGTATGAGGATCCAAGGGGGGCAGGGAGCAGAGGGATGAGGCTGTGCAGGGGGAGGGAGAAATTAATCATGGGGCTGTACAATTTGATTAGTGGGGTGAGAGGAATTGGAAGAATCTGGTCTGGAAAACAGTGTATTCAAATTTTGCAAATAAACTAGTATAACTAAACAAACAATACTCTGTGAGATTACAGTATCAGATATATAAATCCTTTAGGTATTTAGAACCTAAAACAACTGAAATGCAATCATTTTCCAATAGTGGAGTTTGATTCACACAGTTATCTCATGAAGAGGCCTCCTTGGCCTCATTTTATAGGTGAGAAAACAGCCCCAGACAGGTTGAAGCTCAAGGCCATGTGGGTAGTGAATGATGGAGCTCGATCCAAGCTGATCTCTAAAACTTCCCTGAAAGACGTCTTCACCTTCTTTGTGGACCAGTGATAGTGCTGACTCTCGTTTGGACTCTAGTCCTTCAAATCCCATGTTCTCTCATGTCATTCATTCCTATCTCCTCTGTTTTGATTTTACTGCTTGGCATTTACACCATAAGGAAGAAGGGTGATTAGTATGATAGGTATGCAGGCAGTAAAAAACACTTGTCAGTCAGAGTGCTGAAACCACTCTGGAAGCGTTAGTTGTCCTGGGAGAAAAAACATTTGAGGAGTTTGAGTGATCTGACGTGCAGTGAATAATCTCACTAAAGGCTGGAGGCTTACAGTAGTCAAAGTGGTATCGGTCGGAGGTCAATGTGAAGGAAACCCTCTCACTTCCTGCAAAGGCCCCAGGTGTGCATGCCAGCAAGCACGATCCTGAGTGGAGCAAAGTTTTCCTGACACATTTTTCCGGTTCCATTTCAGAGGACTCTGCGTTGATGCCCTCATTGAACTGTCTGATGAAAATGCTGATTGGAAACTCAGCTTCCAGGAGTTCCTTAAGTGCCTCAGCCCGTCCTTCCACCCTCCAGAGAAGAGTAAGCTTCCCTTATCTGAACCTAAGGAAGACAGTAATTATAAGGGTGGGGCCTTTTGGGTCCACAATGGAATTGGTAGTGTTTTCCATAATTTTCTGGGCAGACCCTTTCAGTTGTGAGCCCCAGCCCCTCGTCTCCACAATGAGGTTAAAAAAACCAACAACTTGTAAAACAATGAATTTTTCTTTTACTTTTCAAAGAGGGGAGTGTACTGGAGGGGAGCGGTGTGGGTGGGGAGAAAAGTGCAACAATGAATGAATGGAAATCCAAAGTCTTTGAAAATTTTCATTGAAATAAATTTTAAAAAAATTGTTAATGTCTAAAAAAAACCCACCAAACCAACAAAACTTGCTGCTGTTGAGTCATTTCCAGTGCACAGTGATCCTCTGTCAGTTTTCCAGTGCTGTAAGTTGCAATGAGAGGAGACTGCCCATCTTTCCTCCATGGGGTGGATTCAAACTGCTGACCTTTTGGTTACCAGTCCATTATGCTGTACACTGCACCACTACAGTTCACAGTGACATTAGAGTCCATAAATATCTTTGGGTTGGTGATTGGTGTTTGCTCAGATATAGCACCCCCTAAGAGTTAGGCAGGGAAAAGTCTGGGAAAAGTTAAAGCACACAGATTGTGTGGCACAGATGCCTCGCCCCACCTTCACTACTAAAACCATCTCCCCTTTCTCTGGTCCCAACAGAGTGCGCCCTGGAGGATGAGACATACGCAGATGGAGCCGAGACTGAGGTGGACTGCAACCGCTGTGTCTGTGCCTGTGGAAACTGGGTCTGCACAGCCATGACCTGTGATGGTGAGCTGTGCCTTGGGTTTCAAAAAGAAAGAGTGGCAGGGCGACACCTTCCTTTATTAAATCACTGTGAAAGAAGTCAGGGTGGAGCTGAAGCAGTAAATTGCAATGCCTGAGAGCAAGGCATCCAAGAGCAAGTGTGAGAATCGCTTGCTCCTATAACCCCAGAGCTCCCATTGTGTAGTGCTGCGGCCAAAGAACTCAGCCTTAATATACTCAGTTAAATCAGCAACTCAAAGGCTTGATATAAAAGACCAAGTCTCAGAGAGTAACTATTATTAAGAGATTGGAATATTGATGACAATGATGAAAGTAAGTACTTATTTAGTACTGCAAGAGAGGAGGACCCTGGATGAGATGGATTGACTCAGTAGCTGGAGTAATGAGGAGAGGTCTGTCAGAGACCGTGAAATAGGCTCAGGATGGCTCAGGGTTCAGAGCTGTTGTACTTAGGGGTGCTGTGAGTCTCAGGCAACTTGATGGCACATAACAACAACATAGCGAGCACTCTTCTAAGTATTTTTCGGATTAAGGTACATAATCATTGTGACCCCTTCAAGCAAACAAAACCAAGCTACATCTCCAGAGGTCCCTTCTTACGTAGAAGTGGTTGAAAGATAACTCGATGGCATACCTAGTGAAAAAAGAAAGGATGTTCTTAAATTCCCTTTGAACTAACAGAATTGGGTAGTCCTATAAAAGTGGACCATCAATAGGCCGGGTGGATTAGGAAGATAGAGGGGTCAGGAAATTGGAGAACATTTCAGGAGTGGAAGGGTGTCTTCACACTCCAGAAGAGATGAATATGTAAAGGAACAGAAAGAGGTTATTTAGACACTAGAAATTTTCAGAAGTCAGTATAAATCAACACCAGGCCAGAGTATCCAGATTGTGTAGCATCTTCTGAAGCCATCAGAGAATATCTCAGAACAGTGACCTGACCTGCCTCAACCAAGAAACATCCTATACTCTTCGTGTGTTAGTCTGTCATCTCATTCCCAAAACTCTATCTAAAAGGTTCTCACACCTGTCTCCTCCTGTCTGCCTTTGAATTTCCCTTTCATTTTTCAAGACACAGATAGTTGATGTGCTTGTGGAACCTTAATCATCAACATATGGATAAGCTCCACCATATGCTTTAGACAAAAGCCAGATAATCACCATCCTGGTACTGTAGCTTTTTCCACAGTCACCCGAGCTTGCACTGCTCATTTTGTGATGGCGCAGGTTCAGAACTATTTCTGGGTATAAAGAATATTCTAGATGGTAGTGGCTTAGGAACCTAAGAAAGTCTTGGTGTACAGATCATAAATCTGAAAGGAAAATTAAGAGGAGTGATTCCGAAGGATTTTCAGATCAGTACTTGAATTTACAAGTCTGATGTTAGATCATGGATCCAAGTAAGGCCAGTAAGAGGGGATATCAAGATAGGAAGTCAAATTGTGTCGGAGCCTGTGGAAAGTGCCGATGTCAGGAAGGCATGTCCCATCAGTATTTGCAACAGTAGGTCGTATGCTTAATTAGCATACGGACCTACTGACTCAGAATCTGGGGGTGAAGGGAAGAAGGCAGCGTGGAAGCCTATATGTTGTTGATGGATGACTCCACTCTGAGCCTCTGTGGCTTCTTGCTGCCTATGCATGGCGCCCCGTGTGTGCAAGTAACCACAAGTTTTTGGGTTCATGTGCTTTTTTGGGCTTGTGTTTGATGTGCAGTCCTGCTCTTCACCCCAGAAACAAGATCCTTGAGGCTTGGCCTAGGGTTTAAGGCATAAACCCCCCGAAGGCCTGTTCAAATTGATTTTTTGTCAAACATTCTTCTAGGTGGTATAGCACTGGTCTGTGCATTGCTGTACAGAGGTATGTCGTGGTTGCTGTGAAGCTGAACACTGTGACACTGATGTGTCAAATGTGAGAATGGTTACCCGTGGTGGGCAGTGTTTGGTGGAGCTCCCCAATTAAAACAAGCTTGGAAGCATGAGTAGCATCCACTTCTGAAATGACTTGCCTCCGGAAACTCTATGAACATGGAGAAACGACCAAAATTATACAAGTGTTCAGGTCATTTGTTCATAGGGTCGCTATGAGTCATCTATGACCCACTGGCACAACAATAACAACAGTAGGGAGCTCTGTTGGCCTAGCGGCCAGAAGCTGCATTACAACTCTAAAGGCACAAGGATTGAATCTACCCAGCTTCTCTGCGAGAGAAGGATGGGTAATCTCCTCCGGTGCCAGTTAACTGCCTCTGAAAACCTGCTGGTGGGTCAGCTGTGGGTCGGTTTTGACTCATTGTTAAAAAAACAACTATGTGCAACGGGGTTTTTTGGTTGGTGGTTATTGAGTTTTATTACTGTGCAAGTTAGAGAAATGCCATATTTACCAGCCCTGTAAATGTCTGAGAGTTGCTGCCCCAGAGCAGTTCCCAGAGTAAGAATCCGGGTTTTCACAAGGCTTTTTCTGCATGGCTACAGCCTGGCATAGATGTGTTGGGAACACTTCAGGAAGACACTTGGAAAGGGAAGGGTCATGTGGGGGTGTGGGGAACCAGAAGGGCAAGCAGAGATTGGTGGATGATGTGGAGTGAAGGAATAAGCAAGGCACAGTAGGGACTTAATGAGACTGAACGATAAAAGGTATTGATCAGTATACATGGACAGTGTACATGAATGTGTAAAACACAATGTACATGAGTAAAACATAATGCCTATGAATGATTGTATTTCTAAAAAAAAGACACTTGAGGTGGGAATCCAAGAAAAGCAGGAGATTGTGAGCAGGTGGGATTGCTGTGTTTATTGTGTGTCATCTTAGAAGTGTCAGTAGCATTGGACACTTCATTTCTTCATCCTCAGCCATGGACTACTTCCTGTCTCGTACAGCTTAGCTGGGAAATCATGTTGAGAACATAAATGATAGATCTTGGTGGCTTTACCAACTGGACTCCCACTGAGACTTGTTTCTTTTGCAGGAAAGAATCAGAAGGGTTCTCAGTCCCATGCAGAGGAAGGGATGACCAGATATGTTCAGGATGTCCAAAAACACCAGGTGAGTTAAAAACACCTCCAGTGCTCACTTAGAAGACTGTGCCCCTCCAGGCCCATCCACTGCTCAGAAACCTTCCAGTGCCCATGCAAACCAAGGAGACATGCTTATCTCACACAGTAGGCCTTGAAGATATTAGCACATTATTTATTTCAAACCATGATACAGGTAATTCCCCAGAATTCTCAAAGGAGTCAGATGCTAGCTGATAAAGGATACCGCTTTGCCAATTGCAGTGTAAGTAACAATCAGACAGCTGATCGTATGCAGATTGTCTGAAGTGTCCTATCCTGACCAGCACCCAGATCTGCATCCCAGGATTTCTTTGAAGGCAGATCCTACGGCTTGCTTACCTCTGCATCCCTGAATCTAACGCACGGCCTGAGTTTGGCACTCATTGGGCTTGGAACTAGTGGATTTGGACTACAGCAAAAAGGACTGAAGTTAAATGTCATGTTGACTAGAAAACAGCCTGGGATTGGCAAGACAGGGAACATAGACATTTCCCTTCCTGGGAGACGTTTGAGAGATGATAAATTAGCATCTGTTCAGTCTTGTGTCATTAAGTTAAGAGGCCTGCTTGGGGACAAGGACCTGAGCGGTCCACTAAGGTAATGGGCTGAGCACCTACAGAAAATAGGGAAATGCTGGGCTCTGGAGTCCTTTTTTCTGGACTTAAACCGTGTGTATCACCATCCCACTCTGGTTCTAATGTACTTTTTATTGGCATTATTTGTATGGTTATAATCCATTTTACACATAATACCATCACTGACCTGCCAGTGGGTTTTCAGAGGCTGTAAATTGCACAGGAAGAGATTGTGCGTCTTTCTCCTGTGGCGTTCCTGGTGGATTTGAACTGCCAGCCTTTGGGTCGGCAACACAACCCCTTACCGACTAGGCCACCAGAGTTCCCTATTACATGGTAGCATTCAAATAGCCGATCTTAAAATAACTATTGACAAAGTCTAATAGCAAAAGCAATAAAAAACAAAACCACTGAACAAATTTCAGTTAAGGCTGTTATTCCGAATTTGTAACCTGAATAATCCAGCTTTGAGATGCCTTCCATTGTTGATGCTTCCCTCATGAATGTGAGATGTGGTGCTTCCCTGTGCCTCGGGTTATCCCGCAGATGACGCACTTTGAAGGCAGGACTTTACAGTTGTCTTTGCACTTTGCCCTGGTCAGAGTTCTGGACTCCCAATGCCAGCATTTGACCTTCAACCAGCATTTGACCTGTGTGTACTACTGGAAAAACAAGTACCTTCCCCAAAATTTCATAATCCACTGGTTTCAGAATGTCCCCTACTGCAAAGCTCAAACCCTCTTTGCTCTCAGCAAAGGCCAACAAGTTCATTTAAGTAACCTCGCACATAGTTTTAAGAATAGACAGTGTCCTTTTGACTGCCTGTCCTCTGACAAACAAGTGTATAAAGAAGATAATGGTCACAACTGCCAAATATCAAGGAATAGAAAAAAAAAAAAGGAATAGATGATATGTGCATAAAGCACTATTAATAATTGCACCCAGTTAATTGGTTTTTTATATACACTTAACCATAATTGTCGCTGATAATGCAAAAATCTCATGTTGACTGTTTAGTAAATAAAACTGTTAAACTTGTTTTTCCCCATATTTTGAGTCTCCTGAGGTTATGCCCCCCCCTCCCTCTTTCACTCCCACCATCCCTCTCTCTCTTATATATACATAATCAAAAACAACCCAGGAAAAAAAGAACTTAATAGGATTTCTTTTCTTTAAGATGGAGTAAGTGTAAGAGTAGATGATGGAAAGTAAATTTTAATAACTAGCATTAAGTATCTGTTTCATATGAGTTCTCTGAGATGAAGATTCATATAGAGAGAGTTTATGAGGCAGGAATCCCAGGAAATACCTAAAGAGGAGTTTAGCCCAGGAAGGGAAGGAACACTAGATAGAGATGCAGGTTATCTGTGGGCTGGTAGAACACAGGGAGAACTCGGGGAAAGGAGCCATGGTTTGTTTTTTTTTATTAATTTAGTTTATTTTTCATTTCAATGAACATCTACAGAGATTTTGGAATTCCATTCATTTATTGTTGCACCCTTCTCCCTGCACGAACCCCTCCCCCTCCCAGGAGCCATTGTTTTTATACAGGAACTTGCATCGTTCATAGGAGCTGCTACCAGGAAACTTTGATGCCTTGGCATTTTTTACACGCCAGCATGTGTGGGCAGAGAGCGGTTCTGGCAGCCAGAGCAAATCCACAGGCCAATAGATGCAGGTGCTTGCAATAAGAAGCCAGGCCAGTATACCCTGAAGGTTAGGGGTGAGGGGTTGTGAGTATGACACCAACAGTACACTCTTAGACTTGATTAGGGACACATGGTGTTGTAAACAGATGCTTGAAACACTTGTGCTAGCTTTGGTAGCAACAGCAAAGCAAAACACCACCGTGCCAGTGAGTGGGCCTGTGCAGTTCAAACCCATATTGTCCAGGGGTCAACTGGATTTTTCTTTTTTAGGAAGTTCCAACTGCATTTGAAAGTGTCTGTATTATTTTCAGCCCCACCAGCAGTATATTTCTCATTGTTCTTGCTGAGTCAGCTTTGACATTCATGGCTGAACCTCAGATTTCCAAGGCTGTAAATTGCAGGAGAGGAAATTGCCTCTCCTTCTTTCTCTTCGCCAGTGGATTTGAACTGCCAGAGAGGGAATTAATGCCTGTGGATTAGCAGCACAGCTCCCTCCTGATGGGGCCACCCGGGCTCCAGCTCTGTTTTAGGGTTCCAGTTTCTCCACATCCTTGCCAGCACTTGTTAGTTATGTCTATCTTTTTTATTTCCACCCTCACCACTGGACCAATTGGTAGCATCAGGATGGATGGCAGAGAGATTGAGATTGTTCACAGCTTCAGTTTGCTCAGCTCCACGGTCAAC